ACCCTGCCTCCTTTCCTACATCTCCCTCTCGTCTCACCCTCTTACACCCCTGTCTCCTGCTCCTCTTTTCTCCCCCTCTCATCCACCTTCTGTACTCTCTCCTTTTCATCTTTCAACGCATGGTGGCCCTCCTCTCGTCCATCTCTGTTTCTCATCATCCTCCTCTCCTCCTCTTCCTCCCCTCCTCCTCCTGCTCTAATCCGCAATTAAACACGGTGTGTGAGATGCTCCATTGTGCATCCTCAGCCCGCCGCTCGCTCGCTGCACATACATTACTGCCTCCGTCTGTGTGGAGCTGCTGAAAACAACCACCCCGCTATTTCTCCCGTTATATAAATAAATATATGTCTTCCTCCCCCCTTCCTCCCTCCTGTCTCTCGGTGTTGGAGGGTCGTCTGTGTTTTTCTCCTCCGCCAGCCTACGTCAGACACACACGGCGCGCATTGTCATGGTCCAGCTTGATCATCATAATGCTCCAGAAAGGAAATAAATCTGTGGTAATATTCCCACAGGGAGCTAATGGTGTGTGTGTGTGTGTGTGTGTGTGTGTGTGTGTTAGGTTTATATTGATCTTATATTGGATTTTTAATCTCTTGAAGTATCACTTCAGTATTCATATGAGCATTTATTACTATGGCATCTTATTACAGCCCACAAAGAGTGGAAGACTTCTTGTGGGTGTATTATTTGTAGTCTTACTCCAAAAATGTCATTTATTACTCATTAGTCTTTTTTAAAAGTATTATTATTACTTCCTGCCAACAGCAATTAGTTGGCTATTATATTACTTTTCTGCTCCTCCCCACAAAATTGCTAATTGTGTCCTTTCTTCCCAAAACTCTGATTTATCATGATTTAAATTCAGTTCTGTTTGTTAAAATCAAAGTAATTCAGTATTTCCAGACACTGAATGTAAAAGCGTTTCCATCTTACAAACTAGTTTCCTCCATGATTACAAAAAATAATACAAAGATGTAATTGGATTTCAAATCAGTAGGAGGTGACAACAAAAGTGATGTTGTAACTATTCATTTTTTAGGCGGTGACATTTATTATGAATGAGTTACACTACTAGTTACTGGGGAAAGTGATAATATTACTGTAATGAGTTGCTGCCCAACACATATTATTTAAAGGTCCAGTGTGTAACATTTAGGAGGATCGATTTGGAGAAATTTAATGATCATAGGTATGTTTTCATTAGTGTTTAATCACCCGAAAATAATAATAATAATAATTGTTGTTTTCATTAACTTAGAATGAGCTGTTTTCATCTACAGTGGGAGACCGCCATGTTTCTAAAGTACCCCAGAGCAGACGTTTTTTGTGTTTCACAGCCAACATAGTTTCTCCTACATGTTCAGAAGGCCGAGCTGTATTCAGATGGTTGCAATCTGCAACTTCACTGCTTGATGCCACAAAATCCTACACACTGGTCCTTTAAATGCATTTAAAGATCTCCTCCAGACATGTATTACAAACAGTTTACTTGTTTTTTCTGCAAAAACAAACCAAAATGTAAAAAGTAAGTTTTCCTGCTGCACACAAAATGTTTCCTACGTCACTGTAAAGTCAGTTCTCAGTGTTTGTGCACTGGTGGCTTCAGGTTTCTACATCACACTGTACAAGTTACAAAGACTTACAAACTATTTGTGATGTCACAAATCATGCTCTTTAGGCCCCGCCCCTTAAAAAATCATAATATTCAGTGATCTCAGAGAAACGTTCCAGTTTAAGCAGATGAATGTCATCATTCTGCAGAGTGAAGGTCAAACATTCAACTGTAGGAACAAAAAGAAAAACATATTTATCAATGGAGGGGGACTTTAATATAATATGGTGTGAATGGTCATATTAAAAAAACAAAGATCAAGCTTTGTTGTGCACAATGTCACGGGTAATTTACAGTGTTTATTAGTTTCATCAACAGGGAACACCAAACCAAAACTAATGCAGAGTAATACAACAACTGCAATAAATCCAGATTAAATTAAATCATTCAGACTTAATATGACCTACAAAAAGCATCGAAAGGATGAAGCTGGAGACAGAAAATGGAAAAATAATGGAAATTATTAACTTTCTGTCAATAAACTTATTGATTAATCATTCCAGCTCTACTTTCCACAGTTTCATTTCTGTTTATTCACATGCTGATTTTTTTAAACCACCTTACTTTCTCTTTCATCGTTCACTGAGTGTTTTTCTCTGCTGAGAGCCTGAGCTTCCAGCCCCCTGTGACGGCAACCATCTGCCCCTCTGACGTGAGATCATGAGCGAAACTCTGCAGGGGCAGAAGTAACTGCATCTGCGTCTGACCTCTGACCTCCCCTGCAAGAATTTCTCTTTCTGGGTGAACAAAAATAAATAAAAAAGCGGGCTTACGAGCTGCTCTTTCAACGGTTATGAGTTCTCGGTGTTTTATACCTCTATCTACACCTACTTTGGCACATTTTACGCTTTACCTTCTTTCTTCTGGGCTTTTTTTACATTTGCAAACACACTGGTCACAATATTTGTCCAGTAACGACCAATAAAGACAGTTCATGATTTTAATATTTCGTCTCTCCAGCTGTCTCGATCCCGCCTTTGACGCTTTCGGGCAAGTTCTGGGAAGTATGCACTGTTGTATGGCTTCTCCCTCTCGGTTATCTCCCTCCCCGGCTCCTTCCCTTTGCCGTTCTTCTGGTCGAGCAGGGCCTTGGCTCTCCTCCTTTCTTCGGCCTCCCTCTGTAAACGCTCAGCACGTAACCTCTCTATGGAGCTGGAAAAGACAGGAGACAGATCTTTTAGGTGTCTACATAATGATATCTACAACATCTTCACATTTTATTCATATCAGGACGTTAAGTAACAAGAGGAGTTGACTTTCTTACCTCTCTCCGCTGCTCCTCTTTTCCCCTTTGTCTCTCTTCTCCCATTTCTTGCTCTTGTGGTATTTTTTCTCCTTTACAGCGAGTGCTTTCTTCATATCTTTCAATGGATCTAAACTATCTTTCAACCTGCGATCTTTCTTCTCTCTCTCCTCTTCGCTTATTCCCTTCCTCTTTTCTTTTTCTTTCCTCTCTTCTTTCTCTTTCTGCTCTTCTTTCTCTTTGCCGGTTTTCATGTACCACGGAGTGACCTCGGTCCCTGGTTGAGGTCCTAGAGACACCAGTAAGCCGATGGCTCGTTCCTGTTTCTCCTGGAAACAACAAACAAAACCAGCAGTAATTATAGATTGTTGAGTTCTGACAGTAGAGCCAAACAACTGGTCTGAATGTAGAAGAGGCAAGAATAGTAAAATTATTCACTTTTCCTTTGGCTAATAACAGAATCATTTTGATATTTTCTGAGATTTGATTTTAAAACTGGATTACATCCTTTTAACACTTTGCCTTTAAAACGTGTTTTGTTATCACAATGACAAGATCCACTTACTTGATTTTTCCAAACGCATACAGTCACCAATCGGGACTCAGACGGAGTTGATCAGTCAGATCAATATTCAATAGTAGACTGAAACCCCTAAATCCATAATTAGGCCAAGTTATAACAACTAAACCATCTCCATGACAACTGAACAAACTCTGGAAAAACCAAGTAAGTGCAGCTTGTGAAAAAATCGCTGCGATGTCCTCAGTCATCAGCGGTGGGAAGCAACAAAGTACAGATTCATTGTTACTGTACATAAACCGTTTTTTCAGCCAACTGCACTTGAATATTTATGTTTCTAACAACTTTTACCACTTACATTTCCACACAGATATCTGTACTTGTCTTTAAGCATTTTAGTGGAATTAAGGATTTATCTTAAATTATTTTTTTTTTTTTTAACGCCATTCCCACATGTACTTTTGCCACCTCTGGCTGTCAAACTCGTGCACGTACAAATCCTAACCGGTGAGGTTTCTGGATGTGAATCTGCACAGAGTGATCAGTGTTCACTCTTCCACACTGAAGCTGAACAGCGGCTGCACCTGCGACCAAAGAGGTGAGCAGTGCAGCAGAAACAGGCTGACAACAGCACTCCAGTTTCACTGGTTATTGTTTCAGTGTAGAGCCAGAAATGGAGTCAAAGCAATCAAATCTATGAAGGGACAGTGAAAGCCGAGAACCGCTGTGGGAGGTTTTGGATGTGAAGAGCGACAGAAGAAGTAGCACCTTTTCATCTTTCTTCTCCTTGAGATACTCCTCATTCCCTTTCTTCTCAGAAGATTCCTCCAGCGGGAAAAGATTAAGATGCTCCAGAGCTGCACCTCCTCCTCCTCTCCCCCGTTCATCATCATCATCTTCATCGTCCTTCCTTCCTCCTTCTGACTGGAGAGCAGCTCGGGATTTCCTTCTCAGATACTCTGTACGTGCCTGTGGAGAGTTTGAGTCGTTAGTCCAAACTAAGTACATCAGCAATAAAGCCTTCTTTGTGATTAATTATATTATATATATTGTTACTGCGTCTGCTTCAGTCCAATAAACTAAACAACAACTGCAACAACAACAACCAGTGCAAACAACAGTCAACAAGTAAGTCTGGAACCAAATATTAGGATAACACTAGGCACACCTAATAATCCTTTAAGGATTGCTTTATATATAATACTGTCTTTAATAATATAATCAATAACTCGTATTTACAATACTGTCTTTCAATAATATGAATCCACTGTATTCATAGAACCTGTTCTTTTAATAATAAAATCACTGTATTCATAACGGTACTATACTGATCTTTAATACAGTGCTCATACCCTGTACTTTAATAATATAGCGCATACGTGTACGTTCTAAGTAATACGTGAACGATAGCACTGTATTTCAATCAATATAATACTGTACCTTCTGAATAATACGCTCAGATACACTGTAATTTAAACTAATAGTAATACTGTATTCTAATAAAATAAGTATAAACTGTATTTTACATACGATTACTGACTGATAAAATAAATAAGACACACTATCAGCCAACTACTCGTATTGTAACATAAATATAATACTGATATTTACATGACTGTATTTAATAATTATAACACTGAAGTGTATTTGCATAATACTGTAATTCTAAATACAATATAATCACCGTATTTAATACTGTATTTAACTAATTACTCAATACTGTATTTAATAAAAATCGTAAATAGCTGTATTTAATAAAACTACATACTGTATTTAACATACCCTGTCTTTAAATAGAAAACTATCAGATCACTGTATTTAATACCATATCAGGTACTGTACTTACCTACCATACTGTCCTTTAATAATATCTAATACTGTATTTAATACTGTCTTTCTATATATCACATACATCGTCCTTTTAATACCTGTCTCTTAATAATATACGATACTGTATTTAATACATATGCACTACTGCTAATTATAATAAATATAGAAAAACCATACTGTAGTTTAATATATAACTCACCTCGTATTGTAATAATACTAATACAGGTTTGACTAGGCCACGTATAATGGGAAAGGTTCTACACACAACCACCAACTACATAATGTACCTCTTTAACCTCAGTTCAGCTACTTGTAAATTCACGCTGCTCGCTCTCCCTCTCTCACACAACTCCG